TAGCACCAACCCAAACTAACTTGTACGACCACTATTATAGTCGACTATAGGTCCGTACGTACACCACGTAGTGTGTATCTCTCTCTCTCCTCCTTCCTTCCTCTCTCTCTCTCTCTCTCTCTCTAACTCTAAAGGGATGCCCATGCCCCAACATAGAAGCCCTAGGAGTGGCATGCCCCACACACCAAGAAACACTAGCCGCCTTTGATCATAGTTATGATGTTTTGTTTGTGGTGTGTACATGAGACACAGAAGTATTGGTTGTTCTCTCTCATCTAGCCCATCGAGTTGACTTGTCATTGTAGCTTCCCATCTTAAGGAGACCTGGTAGGGATCTAAATCAATGCATCATCGAGCTTGGTAACACAAAGTGGGATGCGTTAAGTCATTTGGACGTGATCCGAGTCAACTAGTTCTGGTAAAGGCTTCCCATTGTTCTTGATTTAGTATTTTAGTTTATGCATTATATTTTCTGATTTTCAAAAGTATGATGTTTAATTGCAGCTAGTAGGGATAAATAGATTATAGTAGGTTTACGTGATTCATTTTTGGATTGTAAGTGGCTTTTGTAAGATGACTTATCGGTATTAATAATGAAAATTTTTTAATGCATACACCTTGCTCGCTCTACATTACACCTTTCAATTAATCGAATGCCACATCTCTACAGGGTCATACTACAATGAAAAGTGGATTGCAGTGACATTGGTGGAACCCAAACTTTACAAACAAAAACCACAAAAAACACTTTAAAACAGAATGACTGTGATCAATATAAGGATTATTTGGAACCAAAACCATAAGTAAATGCGAAAAGATCAACAGCCAAGATGAGTATAACAAAACATGGAACTATGTGTGTTTGTGTCTCAAGAATGATAGTTCCATGCAGATTGACATGCATTTTAGTTCCAATATTCCTACTTGGTTTTACGTCATGATACTGTATCATTATAATTTCTTGTTGTCATGCTTTTTAGTTGTTAGGTACAAAATGCATGGGGTCCATGTTTCCGTCCTTTTATGAGATTCACATGTTCAATGTCTAGGCCCTTGTCTGACATCCATGTCCTTGTCTAGATCACATACATAGGATCAGTTATCATGAATGAGTCATTGAATTGTTAAAACCGGCAAGGACGTTAAGGGCAGAGTTCCACCAAAATCCAATAAAAATGCACTACAAAGCCCATATGCCTGTTAAATTTTAGGCATATTATTTAATATCCCTTCCCTTGGACCCAACTAACACTCCCAAACAAAGGTTCTTTCCAGAAGTCTCCAAACGTACCACTTTGTCTGTTCAGAATAATTACTATTCTGTTAGTAATGCCAGTGTTCAAGAAGGTAGATTCAGCCACGTAAGCAGCAAGGGGAGTGGGAGCATAGGGGTCTATATGTGAATGTGTGTTGATTGAGTCCTTGTGTATGTGTGTGAAGCCTCATCAAACACTTGTGTCTTCTTTTTCTTCTTACATGTATAGAGAGGAGGGCGGGCTCAGATCGAACACTTGGATGTTGTCTTTGTTCTTTTTTTCTTTCATCCTCTTATACGCAGAGAGACAGCATATCAGTCCATGAGCTCGTATCAAACACTTGGAAGTCGTCTTGTTCTCTTCCTTCTTCTACTTATATGTAAAGAGTGATCATATGGGTCCCATGTGAGAGAGAGACAGGCCTTGCACCAAAAATTTGGATGTCATCTTCTCTTTTTTTTCTTTTTTATATGTAAAGAGAGCATATGGGTCTGTGTCTATAATAGAGAGAGGCCTTAGATCAAACACTTTTTTTTGTTTTGGGGGTGGGGGGCAAGAGAGAAGCCTAGCATTGAACACTTGGATGCCAACTTTTTCTTTCTCTTCTTCTTCTTATATGTAGAGAGAGAGAGAGCATATGGGTCCATGACCAAGAGAAAGAGAGTGAGGCCTTGCATCGAACACTTGATGGTCATCTTCTTCTTTGTATTCTTATATGTAGAGCAGGGTTTAAAATAGACCGATTCATATCAGAATCGCCCCATCCAAATCGGGAATCAATGGGACCAGTCTAGTTCCGACCATATATCGAAACCTGACAGGTTCCCTGACAATCCAATGGGGAACCGGCTAGACAGGTTGGTTCCCACATTTCTTTTTTATTTTTTCCTTACAAATTTTGTTTAAAATTTCAACTATCTGTTAAATGAAAGAGGGATGGCTCAGTAGCCCACCCCTCTCTTTCCAATTGGGCAGCCACGTAAACTTGGCTACCCAAACCCCTACGATCCCCATTTATATGTTCAATCCCCCGATAAATTGACTAACGCCAACAATGTGGGACAAATAAAACTATGCGAGTCCCTATGTATTCTACTTAGTGTTATGTAAATGGTGCTTTCTTCAGTTGCTATCTCTTACTGTAATAAGTTGTATATGTTGATCTAAGCTTCATTCTTTTTCCGTGAAGGAAAGGGAGCTTTGCAACGAGGAATATTCCACATGCAAAACGATTTAGAGAAAAAGTGAGAAAGTTAAAGAGAAGAGAGACAAAAAGAAAGCTAGAGAGAGAGAGAGGGGAAACAAGTCACATATGTTTCCGTCCAACATAGGTGTAAATTCTAGAAATAGATGAATAGGAGAGATAGACGAGCGAAAACAATAAGAAGAGCCATTTACTTAAGAATAAAGTAAATTATGCGATTGTTCAATTTTATGCAGTAAAGAAATTATGCGGTTGATTAATACTGCCTGAAGCCCCATTTCAGGCATTATTACTAAAGAAATTATGCGGTTGTTGAATTTTATGCAATAATGTATGCTTTATTAGTAAGAAACTAAACGAGTTTTATTTACTAACCCCCCAAAATCTACTTGTCCCCTTTTATATGTAAGCCACATATGCTTGATTTATGGCACATTTGTTTGTTTAATTTTAAAATTTAAACTAATCAAAACTATGAGAGTTTAATAAGCACATGTAAACTTTCAAACGCCCATTGGATGCTATGACCATCACAAAATGGAAGCTATGACAAAGATCTTCCACTCCAACTGTTAATATATCAAAAGAGCCCAATCTGTTTGTGAGAGATATGGCCTTTCAAGGCCTTAATACCAGCATTTTATAGTTCTTGTTCACAGTGGGAGTGATCAAGAACACAGGATTTATGAGAGGTGGGATTTAAACTTGGTGTATAGAGCCATAAATTCCTAGATCACGAGACTTGAGTTTCAGAGGCAACAGACCATAGGTTTGAGGTAAGCCCTAAGTCAAGGTCATAATGGAGGGTAAAATTATTTTTAATTTTTATTTTTATTCAATTTTAAAGAATGCATAGTTTGATTTTAGTTTTAGGGTTTATTTTAGAGTTTTTCAGTTTTTTGGGATTCTAGGGATTTTCATATTTTCTTTATATACTATTCACAAGTACTATTCATCATACTGTTCACGCATTACTATTCACAGGGTACGCATTACTATTCACAGGGGTAGTTTCAAAATCTTAGTATTGTTTAGGAGCATTTTAGAGTCTAATTGTTTACTTGGGTTTCAAGTTAATTTAGGGTTTCATGAGCTTATAAAAAGTTGGATGCCACATTTTGGAAGATATACGTTATTGGAATAAATTTTATTTTACATAAGATGAAAGTTCTTCTCTTGGCTTGATTTACAGCCAGGTTTTTCTGCAATATTGCTGATTTTACATGTTTAAGGTTCAAACAAATGGTGGATTTAATTTCTCACATTTCCTTTCTGCATCAGGTCGGTATGAGAATACCTTGTGCTCGAGTAAGCCAGGACATGAGTATTTAATATTC